TTCTGCCTCCTAGGAGACTGTCCTTTGTGGTTAGCCAGCCTTGTACAACCCCCACCTTCTTGGGACGGGGAGGGGAATGTTAAGGAATTGGAAGGATGTTAAATTGTAGTTATCTGATTAATTATGTAGTCGATACAATTTGTATGGGGGTGGGGAGTGTTAAGTGAGTTGTCCTATTTCCAGGCGCAGGAGGAGTCAGGGCCTGTTGGGGTAGAGACTGTCCTTTGTGGTTAGCCAGCCTTGTACAACCCCCACCTTCTTGGGACGGGGAGGGGAATGTTAAGGAATTGGAAGGATGTTAAATTGTAGTTATCTGATTAATTATGTAGTCGATACAATTTGTATGGGGGTGGGGAGTGTTAAGTGAGTTGTCCTATTTCCAGGCGCAGGAGGAGTCAGGGCCTGTTGGGGTATCTGGGAAGAGCAGCAGCTCCTGGGGAAATTGGGACAAGCCTCCGGCTGAGCAGAAAGGGAGAGGCTCTGTGCTAGGAAGTGCCACTGCCCTGAAATCCCTGTGTGTTCCGCTCTCACATTTCCAGCAGGAGTGGACAGAGAAGCAGTGAGAAATCCCTGCCCCGCCCCCGCTGCCTTGTGGCCATGCTTCTCTGCAAGCCCCCTCCACCGAAACAGCCCTGTGGCCGGGTTTCTCCTCCGCACACGTCTACCTACGAGCCTCCGCCAGCAATAGGAAAATTCCCGGGAGCTGGAGTTTCTCTCCGCGAGCCGGGTCTGGCAAGGAAGATCAGGGCTTTCTTCATACCCCGCCCCGGCGCTTTCCTTGCGACTGTGCAGGGGAGGAGGAAGGCTGAGCTCAAGCCGCAAACCCACCTGGAAGGTGGACCCCCCCCCCTTTTGAGAACCACCGAGTTAAAGTGGAGGCAATAGATCACACTGCCACTCATTTCTCAACAAACAGAGCTGGGACTTAAACCTGTGTCTCCTTGCCTCTGGCAGGTACCCAAAGCTCAGGAACAAAGAGGGTGCCACAAAGGTTAAGTGGCCTAATTCTCATTTCATATTTACTGTATGTGGCCTGAACAGAAGAAGCTGAAGGAGCCCCCATCTCCAACCACCTCGCAGGCCAGCAATTAGGCCATGCACTGGAGACGTAAGAGATCACAATTCAAATCCCTTCTCAGGGAGTATAAAGGGGGTTTGAACTGACACTTGCACTGTTCAAGAGGCAAGCACACAAACCACTGGACTACAGGGAGATGCCTGGGGCAATTGTGGCTCAATGACTATTTAATAACAGTGGCCCATCCTCAAAAGGAAATACAGAGACAGCACATTGGAATGTCTCCTAGCCCAGTTCCTAGGCAAGTCATCTGAGAGGTACAAAAGGGAAGAAAGGGATGTGAACTCCCAACCTCCCGCCTGCTGGGCACACGCCCAACCAGTCAGCTGCACAGGACTGTTTGTTGTGGCTTATGTACTGAAAGCAGAACAGCTTCAGCAGAAAAGCACAATGAAGGCTCCAGATCAGAACAGCTTCTAGCCCAGCCACGAGAGGTGAGCCAGCCCTGTACAAAGGCTCAAGTCCTTCCTCAGAAAGGGGATTTGAACCCCAAGCTAACCACACACTCACATTGCTACGCTCCACAATAGGGATGCAAGTGAGTAGTCGACTACTCGATAGGGTAAGGATGTGAACAGGTAGCCGATTAACAGGGATCAGCCCCCTGGCCGCAGCAGGCCAGGCCAATGCCAAGTAGCCCATCCCACATGGGGCTGGGAGCGGGAGCCCCACGGCCTAAGGGCTGCTCCTACCTGGCTGGAGTGGTCCTCTGCCCAGGATCCCACTTAGTTAACCAGTTAAATGTTAGGTTAACTTGGTAAATGTTAAGTTAACTGATTAATCGGGATTTTACATCCTGAACAGTGAAAAGCCTCCTCTTTCAGTATAATTTGTAAGGACTGACTCGAGCAATTCCTCTTCTGATCATAAAAAGTAATCTACAAAGCAGTGAACTTCATCAGCAAACTCTGCATCATGACAGCATGAGTTTTGCAACGCCAAAACAGGTCAGGAAGTTCGGTTCTAATGCTGCCTCCATGATATGAGCAGCAAAGACCCTGTAAAGTAACTTTTGTTTATTTTAGCCATTTCATCACCAAAACCGAATCCCACTATAAATTAGTAAAGACTCAGCCATTGTATTGGAGTGTCATGTCCCTCTGCTCAAAGCCATCTCATGTTAGCCTTTAGAACATGAATCAATTTCCAGGCAGAGAAAATCTGAAAGCGTTGCTTGGGTAGATCATTTTTACATTGTCTTGATTGTGTCCCAAACTGCGCCCACTACAGCGGCAACTGCTGCTTCAGCTCCTGTTGTAGCGTCAAAGGTTCCAGCGAAAAAGCCAAAGGCAGTGGTAGGAAGGTTCAAAGCCCAAAAGGCCGTGGGTCCCAGCGTGACCCATCTGATCACTAAGGCGGTGCCCTGTTCTGAGGAGTGCAAAAGGGTCACACTGAATGCTCTTAAGAAGTCTCTAGCAGCTGGAGAACAGCAACAACTGCATCAGAAGTTGGGTGAACAAGGGCACCTTAATTCATACTCAAGATATAGACGCCTCTGGCTCTTCTAAACTCAGCAAAAACCCTGCCAAGACCAAGGAAAAAGCACCCAAGAAAAGACCAATAGCAAAGCCTAAGAAACCAGTTGCTGGGAAGCCAGCCAGCACGGCCAAGTCGACAAAAAAGGCTGTGGTTGTGGAAAAAAAAAAAAAGCCTGAAAAAGAGAAAAGAAATCAACTGCAGAGACCAAAAAGCTGGCTAAGAGCCTGAAAGGTGAAATCCTCCAAGCCTAACCAATGAAATTCAAAACAGTGACAGCTAAGAACTGCAATGGCTTGAGATATTTACAGACAAATTTCTTCAAAAAGAAGGGGTGGGGGAAATCAAGCAAGGATTGTTGTTCCATGTTTCAGCAGGTTTTCTGGCAGTAATGAAACATTGTATTAGGTACATGTTTTTTGGAATGTGGGCAAGCTGAGACATCCCTTCTGCTAGAACCTCTGATTCCTTGCCCAGGCCATTGAATCGGAGTCCAGGCAGAAAGGGAAAGCCATCTCCGAGAGAAAAGGCAGCAGGGAGAAAGTGTAAGAAATGACATTGAGGTAGCAGTTGATCTCCAGGGAAAAACTAAAAGGGCTGGATGAAAAGCATGAAGGTATTTTTATAAAGGGATGGTTTGCAGTAGTCGGGCAACTAGGAACTAAGTGTTCCTGGCAGAGGTGGCTTAGGAGAAGAAGAAAAAATGCTAACTACTCATCCCTGGTGTGCTTCCTATTGTTTGGATTAATAGATGAGCAATAACCTCTCCAGTTGGTGAGAGACTATAAAATGCAACAGTGTATTTGTATCTGTCACCTTATCTTTCTCCTAAAGTCCCCATCTGGTAAGTGATAATTAAGTAATTAAAAACCGATTCTGTTAAAAGCAGCCTACTTGATATGTTTTTACGCAGCAATTAGCTAATGATTTGCTTTCCCAGAACTTTATTATTCCTATGTGAATACTGGCTTAATTACAGTGTTACATCTCTATAATAGCATTCATTAGGAGATTTCAAAGCACCCCACAAACAAATTTCACAAAACCCCTGCAAGGGAGGCAGGGAAAGTATTACCTTATTACTAATGGTCACACTG